GGAAGAAACGTACCGAATGGTCATTGCTTCATCATTTATCCGCAATTTCTTGGGAGGAGCCGTGTAACCAGGTTCGTATTGCTGCCAGTAAAGAGCCAAACAGATATAAGTCAGGTGTAGCAGAAGCCTTCTAGAAAGAACAGTGTCTCAAGCTGTTGGAAGAGCATTCTGCTCATTCAATGATTGTGTACCATTACAATCACATTTCTCGACAAATATTCATGATGACAAAACATTAATTCAGCATAGGGTGAGATAGACTTCAATATTAAGCAAAGAAAGCAAAAGGCCAAGAAAAAAGGAAAAAGGGAAGGAGAAAAAAGAGCCGAGGAAGAGGAAGAAAGGAAATTATCAGTGTTCCTAAAAGTCACTATCAGAATGGACAGCCAACCCAAATTTGTATAACGACACCAAAATTAATTGATTCACACAACCAACTTCTTTTCCCTTTCCTCGACAAGAAGATAATTCATTAATTTGTTTAGTAAGAAATTTATCAAATTACCATTCGAATTTATTGAATCAAGAGAAGAGAAAAGAACTGCAGATTACAAACTAAAGTAATGATCAACATTCATACCTGGAGACATATTTCACAGATTGTATTCCCTTTCTCATTGCACCATCTCTGTATGCAATCTCTGTGAGCAAACTGACCAAGGAAACAGAGTTATTAATTTTCAGAAAACAAGAGAGAGAAAGAGACCAAGAAAAGAGGGCTAGAGTTATCTCTGAGGTCACCTTGACGGTCCCAGAACAAGCACAGGGAGCTTCAAAGCTTTTTGAGCTCTCAAATTCTTCTTCGTGACATATTCTGCATCGAGAAATCCCAGAAATTGATTTCAAATCGTCAATAAACATAACAACCTCTCCCATGATTCGCAATCCCACTGCACTCGCTCCCTCTGTTTCTCTTCTTCCTCGGTTTATGTCACTGTGTTTGTCTCTGACCCCGTGGTGTGGAGGATGGACTCTATATATAGAAGTAATACATAGACTTCCAAAACCACCCCTCCTTTCTTTTTCAAATGTACTATAAAGGATGTCTTGGTTTTTTATTTTAAAATATTTTCCATCGTCGCAGTACATCCTTAATTTTACCTTTTTTTCCCGTTCTAATCATAAATCATGGAATTGCTTGTCGTATTAAGAATATTTACTTTTTTAATTAACCTCAATACACTAGTAATGCGTTTTGCTCACTAAAATATTTTATTTACTATTATCTAGGCAGAAGTAGGAACCAATTCGCGTAGAAACTTGAAAACTCACGGCCCTACTCTTACTCTCTTACTAAACAAAATCCCCTTTTTTTCCCCATAAACATAGACGTATATTCCTTTTAATCTTGGATGAAAGTTGATTATTTTTGAATTTTTTTTTTAAAAAAATGTGTGTCGATTTGGTTTTAAAAAATTTATATTAAAAACTACCATATTTAGAATAAGAGGATGTATTTTATACACACACAGGAGAGTTCAATATAGTTGGGAAAAAAGGAGGAGCAGGTCTGTGTAATTTCTCAAACAACATTTAAGCGCAACGGGAAATAAGTAATTTGGTTATTATTTGGCTGAGAATTCTTTTCCCTTTATTTTTGGCCGATACTTGACTTGGCTGGGAAATGAAATTAAAATTTGAAGAGCTGCCCCTTTTTCAATCGGACAGAGCGGAAATCAAATCAAATGAGTTCTGTGGGATGTGTCCGAGCGTGCCGTCCAGTTTCAAATTGTGCATCCAGATTCAAATGTGGGACCCTCGGCTACTCGCCAACGGTAATAAGCGTTCAAACAAACGTCTATCTGAAATCATGGCCCCCAATAAAATCACCTGCCACGCGGATTCGCTGGGCCCTCATAGACCCTACGTTATCCAATCGTCTATTGTAGTCTATAACACCGAGGTAATATCACGTCCATCCACTGAATTTTTGCACTTTGAATGTACGAGACTCTGATGTGTTTTCTGACGCAGAAAATTTAGTGTGCAATCTATGGACCGACCGCTTCTTCAGCTAAGAAATTCATGTGCTGTGAGAAGTGATTTGAGAATGAATTATCTTTCGGTATAATATTTCACAGTTGCGCATGATATTATCTGTTTATTTTATAGTACTCATTCACTATCCTTAATATAAGATCCATTTAACTAATTTGATTAGATTAAAAAAGTTAGGTAAGTTAGTTAATTATAAGAAATGTGACACGTTTTTCCTAAAACACCATAATCATCTTTCTTAATACCTCTTCTCTCTCTTCTACTTGATTATGGTTGAGAGAGTACCCATAGGGGTAATTAAGAAAAAACTGATAAATATGAGAAATGGGTTTTATATTTAGGATCAAAACCAACTCAATAATTAGGTCCTATATTAAGATCGGAGGAGTATCATTTTTTAAAAAAACACATAATGAATGTGAAATTCATATGACGACGATGAACTTAAATTTCGCGGCAAAAAAAAGAAGAAAAACTACATAGTCAAACAACATTTCGTTTGGCATCTTCTAAAATACCACTTTTATTTGGATAAATTACTCTCTCTCTCTCTCTCTCTCTCTCTCTCTCTGTGTGTGTAAAACATTATCAAATTTAAAGTATTAACCTTTTTTTTAATGTATTGTCTATTTATTGTCTCAATGCATGTGTAAATAATTGTGGAGAACAATTTGAGCATGTAGTTGTGGACAACGCTTGCAGCCTACGCCAATCCTACTGCTGTCCACGTCTGCCCCCACAAAATAGTAGTATCAGATATTAATATTTGTATGTTTTAAATATTTGCGTAAAATAATAATACTTCAAAAAAATGAAATACTATCTCGACGTTTAATGTAAAAATTGGTTTGATATTCAATTTGATCTTAAATATAAGACTCCAATTCATTTTACCTTTATATGTATTCATTTTTTTTCAGAATAGTTCTTATAGTAGTTGTGCATGTTAAAATTTTTATTAAATGATAATTTTAATTAATACATATGATTAGCATGGGTATTTTAGGAAAGACAATACCTATTTATCACAAATAATTTTTTTTAGTCAACTTTTTATTAGAAATCAATAATTTAGTTAATTTTTTGAACTTGCTCAAATTAGCTAACTAGTTCTTATATTAAAAATTATAGTTAGTATAAGAGTAGAACCAGGACTGGAATCCATAAAATATTGCTTTCTGTTGTTTTGATTCTTTAAAGTTTTGCGTTCTTTAAACTGGTGATTTAAAGTAGCTAGAACCACAAATTATTCATGCGGGGATCAAGACTTTAATCGAGAAAAGTATTTAGAGGAATTAATTGAAAAAAAAACTCTTTATAGAAGATTAAATTAAAAATAAAACAGTGTTTTACGGTTTAATTTGGGAGAACCTCTGTCAATTATTAGTTTACTCTGATCGATATGAATGCAGGTAAAAAAAAAAAAAAAACGAGAACTTTTTCAATATCCCATTATCATTGCCCTTGTTAATACTAGTATAATGCTGGCCAAAAAGAATGCTGGTATAAAAATATATAGCGTCTTATTATATATTCTAAATACAAACTATTTCAAATAATTAATAAATATTTACATAAAATTTAATTAGTACTTGACAAACAACTGAATGTATGACAAAGGGTCTGTGGATATTTATCTAAAGCATATAAATACAAAAAAGAAAAAAACGCACACAAATTCAAATGAATGGGAAGTTATTAATGATGGGAAATGATTAGTACACAATAATAATGGAGAGTGATAGAATGGGGGGAATTAGGCGTGTGGTCGATATTGGATAGGGAAGTTGTTCCGTTAGAAGAAGGGCAATGGCGTCGCTGTTGAGTTTGGTGTAAGCTATGAATTAGGTTGAAGAATATCATGCAGCTCTCTGATAATGAGGAACGAGGGAGGCCACATCATCCATCCATTATCCAATAATCTCAGCATAAAATTTCCACTTTGATCGATACATTAGCCGAACTCCTACTATGTTTGTTGTTGATGTCTTAGCTTCCAAGTTCACGTCTGCTTCTGGCATCAGTCATTCACATGGTGGCCCATGAAATCTCCACCATCATTATATTACTCTCTTCCCCTAAAACTCTCACATTTCAAACTGTTCTTCATATTGATCACTATCTTGATGACACTTCACTTTCACACCTGCAGGAATATAATCTGGCTTGTTTAAAAGCCTGTCTCTCTCTTTTAGCATCCATCTCGGTGGAATTTTTTTGTCACGTTCAATATTGAAAGGTAGCATGTTCTATGTTTAGGTGTCCTCTCTTGTATTATTACCAGTGGCGATGCAATTATCAACTCCGATTTCACGTACGCCATTACCGTCTCGTATCTTTTATTTCTCTCTTTGTTCGATGAACTGGAGCTGTTTGGTGTTACTGGCCAGTAATTGTATTGCTTTCTGATATATACACACGAGATTTGTGAAAATGTTTGCTCAATAGACATCCATTAACCCTGAAAAGAAGTTTATTCTACCTATCACTTTATTAATGCTTTTCTCTTACTTTTGTTTAATTAAATATATGAAGGATATACATAGCAGAGTAGCTAGTTTTGGGCAGACGCTCAAGTGGATGGGTTAAATCGCAAAACAGGGTACCTGCCGAAAATTGCAACAGACGGCGCCAGATGTCATACATAATCTTTCCACTCTATACAATAAATTAATGGCTAAAATTTCCAGAGCTTCTAGCAAAATTACAAGGGCGGGTTTTGAATAATATTATTGCCTCGTCTTCACTTAACGATCCGATACAAAGGAGGGCCTTCTTTTGTCTGCTTACCTGGGCCTCGACCGTGACACCAGTGTTGAATCTTATCCTCATGTCATTAAATATTAGGCTCCTCATGTCAAGACCAAGTCCTCTCAAATGCGTCATGCTTATCAAATTGAGTCGAAGAACCCGGGGCCTAAAAACCAGAGGCGACTAAACCCAGAAACAGCAGCAGTAGTGTGAACTATTTATACGTATAACACATGCAAGTCTGAGCATCGAAGTCAAAAACAGCAGGTTATGGAAATGAACAAGGAGCGAAAGATTGTGGTGGCGGTCGATGAGAGCGAGGAGAGCATGTATGCACTCAAATGGTGCATCGCCAATCTCATGTCCCATGAAGAAAACTACAAGCTTGTGCTTCACTACGTCAAGCCACCTCTTCCTGCTCTGTACTCTTACTTCGACGCCGCAGGTTCTACTTCTATAATTTACTGCCACTGTTGTTATTATTGTCAAGGCTACACCTTTACCTTGTCTTTGACTAATTTTTGGTGTTAATGATGATGGTGGTTTGATGTATGTCTAAAGGGCTTATATTTGCCGGTGATTTTGTCCTGGCTATGGAAAAGTACGGCAGGGAATCGGCTAACTCAGTAATGGAAAGAGCTGAAGCTGTTTGTAGGACATCGAACACCACCAATAACGTAATCACATGCGTGCGTCTCGTTCAATGTCCTCCTTCTTAAGTGAAGCGTGTCACTGACCAAGTGTTCATACAGATAAATATGGAGCGAGCAGTAGGGACTGGAGACGCAAAGGATGTGATATGCAGTACAGTGCAGAAAGTGAAGGCTGACATTTTGGTCATGGGAAGCCATGGTTATGGATTCTTAAAGCGGTACCCCTGATTAATTTAATCATGCCTCATTTTTCGTTATTAAATGAAGCATGTACATAATTGCAGAAACTTTATTATTTGCCTATTTGCAGGGCACTCCTAGGAAGCGTCAGCGATCACTGTGCCAAGCACGCCAAGTGTCCTGTTGTGATTGTAAAGCACCCGTGAGGCAAATCTCTTCGTTTGTGGCCCTTCTTTCTCTGCGTACGTTGCTTCTCCGGAAGCAGATTTGTGCGATCACCTTCGGCTTGTTTGGCTTACTTGTCCTGTCCTTATGTATTATAGAGGTCACTTGAATGTAACAGAAAATATGGAGTAAGCAGATAGATTAGAGATCAGTTGAGTGCACAGTGATAATAATGAAATAGCCAGCCCGCGTTTCCTTTAATTTCCTACGGGGTCATAAAAATAAATATTTCATGATAATACATAAGAATTTTTCAAAAACAATCAGATGGTGAAAAAGTCCTAGTGTCTGGCTGGATGGTCAATGTTGTGAAGGCCGGATCAATAGGACCTCAAACGGGTGAGCCGAAAATGCCCAAAATAAGATCCCATACTGGGGCATGAAGGTTTGGTACATCTGTCCTCTGCCCAAAATTATTGCAAAAGGGTCGAGACCGGGTCTTATAGAAATTGGGCTTTCGTGGTCTTACACGGTCTAGCTATACCAGCGCATAATCTAATTCCCCCCCCCCCCAAAAAAAAAAAGAGTTTGCGAACCGACTGACGTAAAAGAATTCCTTTACATGCACTCTTCTTTCTTGGTCAATTCCTGTTTACAACCTTCGATCGGCTTTGCCGTGAAAGGATGTTTGACGCATCAGACAACTTTTAATCAGTTATTATTTCTTCACGACCTAAGTCGCGGAGAGAATATATATATATATATATATATGTATATATCAACGTACAATAGTATTATGTGACGTAACTAGTATAATTAAAGTACATATATAAAATAAGTTGGATCGCTGTTACGTAATGTAACTAGGATTTATCAGGGAAGCAGCAGATCAGAAACATAGTAACTAGAGAGAAAAGAACTATAGATAAATGAATTGGAAGGGCCGCTTCAACGGCATCCATAATAATCTAATCCAATTAGGAGATGTAGTTGTGGTTGAACGGTTCCTCAGAGACATATTCACTTCGCAATTAGGTGAATAATGGACTCATTTAGAACAATGATCTATATTCCCTTCAATAGATCAATTCCAAAAACACACAAATTATATACGTACAGAGGGGACCGGCGGAGGACAGGATCGATACGCCGAAGTCAAAGCATGAAGTAGGGTGAAAGTGAAAACTCAGAGATGAAAACAAAGAATGAAAGGAGGAAGGGCAACGACCGGGCCAAATCAAAGGTTAAAAATTGTACCAAGTCCACCATAATATCCGTCACATGATGGAGCGGTTTAACAAACATCTATTCCTATTAGGCACATTTACCCTCATCCCAACCCCACCTGCTTCTTTGTTATATATACAACCGCCTTGCCTCTCTCCGCTCCCCAGTCGTACCCCATATACAACAAGAAGCCTCGCATAAGAATAAGAATATAATGGGAAACTACATGTCTTCTGGTCGAAATGGCAGGGGCAAAATTGTTCACTGGGATGGATCGGTTCAAGAATTTGATAAACCCGTGACGGTGGCTGAGCTCATGCTGGAGCATCCTCAACAGCGGGTGGTGGAGTTCCATTCTGCTGTCAACCAGAGAAGGCCAAATCCGTTACCCGCCGATCAAAATCTTCAAACCGACAACATTTATCTGATGCTTCCCATGAAGCGAGGCAAGCCCCTCGGGTTAAACGCTCAGGATGCTCGTCGTTTTCTTCTGATTCTCAACTCCGCTGGTCTGCGTTCCAAGTCCCTCCTTCCCTCTTCTTCCGGCAGATTTCTTCCTTGGCTTGGTCGCATGTGCCACCATCCCAATGCAGTAGCAGCAGGTCATCCCACACAAAAAAAGCCACAGATATCGGAAGAGGAGCAGACGGAAGAGGTGTGCAGGGACGTGTTCCCTGAGATTCTTCAGCCTGAAAGACCTGAATATTTGAGTCGTGAGCTTTCCGGGAAAGGGTGGAAGCCCAGCTTGGAGCCGATCACAGAGAAGAAAATCGAAACAAAAATCTCTCACTGGTTGTTCTTCAAGGCTTTCTAGTGTTTTCACTCTATGCGGAGCATCCTGGGCATTATTTATGCATGTAACTATGTACCAGAGTTAGAGATACCTGAGACCTGCCTTAATTTAATTATATGTACGTATCTGATCATGATATCTTAGACCTAGGTTAATGTGGTTCCTCTTGAACTTCGTTTAACGAGGTGAACATGCTAATTCCAAATATTGTAATTTGTGATGAGGAAGCCGTTTGTTCTATTGTGATTTAGTCGTCTAAATCAGAGGGTTGAGTAGCTTTTAAGAAATCCAAGTTTTCAAGTGATGTGCCGGTATGTGTTAAGAAGATGCGTGACTTTATTATTAATTGGTATTTTTATATCGTTAGAGTTTTGGGGTACAGTAGTAATTCAATTGTATTGTTTTATAATACAAGCTAGCCAGCGCTACTCCTTTTTATTTTTTTGCCCCAAGTGACACATAAGTAGTTGACTTTTAATAATGGTGATGATAATGTCAACCCTGTCTTACAGGCTGATATGCGCGTAACAACAAACCAATTTTCGTTGACTCGGCTTGTGTTGGATTTCCGTGGCTCTTCCTTGGTCAAACTTCTAGATGCCACACCCCGCACACTTCAATCGTAGCAAACTATGCAATTCTGTTTCCACATATCAGGTCAAAACCACAAGAGAACATGCTGGGAGCACGATCACTTATATATCAGCTATGCCTATGTGTTTGGGATCAAATTAATTAATTAGTCAACTCACGGTGAGTCTGCAATCATCACTAGCTCCTTTACTTTCACGTAACAATTAACGCGTTAATTAATAAGCAGTTTTCTGCTTCATAACGTGATAGTCGGGTTTAAGCGTTGGAGGGGAGCTACTGAGCTGGGCTTGAGGGCCCATTTCAATGGACCGACTCACAGGTACTGCGACCTACTGCCCAATGCTTTTGGACTTTCAAGGAGAGGTTGAGACGCGTTCAATGAGTGAGCCCAATGGGCCGTTAGATTAAAATTTCGGATTCAATGCGAATTAGAGGAATGTATGGACGGGGGGTTATTTTCCATACCGAATACCAGGAATAGCCTTCGCTGCTTTATTTGATCCCGAACACGGATGGGCACGGCTGACCAAATGAAATCACTTGTTGGAAGATAAAGTTCCCATCATTCACATCACATCAGTGGTGATGCCCGTTGAGATTTATAATCTGGATGGTTTATTAAAGGGTTTAGAAGCCAAAATAAAAATAAATTATGGACTAAAAAACTTTAAATATCAACCGTTCATAGCAGATTTCGACGGTGCAGAACGATGGTCACCGAAACCAGATTAGGCACCAACTGCGATCGCCATATAATTGGGCGTTAGCCTCTTTATTTTGCCTCTCCACCCCTCTCTCACAGCAAATGTTTTGTACTACTACTTCCGATTCTTAATATAAGATCTTATTTGACTTTTATTTTAATCATAAATATAAGACTCTAATTTACTTTGTTTTTTTATATTTATGCATTTTTTTTCTAAAATAGTCTTTCTAGTAATGATAATTATAACCAATACACTTGATTAGTAAGGATGTTTTAGGAAAGACAATACCTATTCATTACAAATAACTAACTTAACTTTTTTTCTTAATCTTTTCAAATTAGTCAACTAACTTTTATAATTAAAACCAGTGGTATTACAATAACAAACCTAATCAGCAAGTTTCACGAGAACAAAGTATTATGATAAACAAAGAGCAGTGAAAAAAGAAAACTCAGTTGCCGAATTGTATGAAGATCGTTCGGCATCTATTGCTATAGGAAGAAAAGCAGTGTCATTTTCTTTGAAAACGGAAAAAGAAGAAGAAGCTGTATTAGGACGAGAGAGTAGTTAAATGGGAAATAAGATGGCATAGTAAAGAAAATATATTAAAATAAGATGAGTTGTGGAGGTGAAGAAAAGCGAGGGAGGTGGGAGGAGAAGGATAGCTTGCGAAGGGAGCGTTGTTTGGAAAGGTGGTTGAAGGTGGGGAATAGCAGGAGGCTTACAGCTTCGAAGAAGACCCTCGTTGATGAGATCGCAGGTGGTCCCCACGCAAAGACTCCATACGTGCCCCCCACCCCCCGGGCGGGGTGTCATCTGTCGTGTACACAAACACGTACAAGTAAAGCTCTTCTTGGAATGCCGCACTTCCATATATTGCGTGCAGCTCCTCTATTCCTCCATACGTACATATACATTCAAACGTATATCTTAAGTACTCTCTAAGTCACTCCCCATTATATCACGTACCCACACAAATGGTGCCTAAACTTGTATCACACGCCTATCTCTTTTTCTTTGGTTTCCTCATGCTTCTCTGCTGTGGCTCAACACCAACCCCCCACACAAGCGTATAGTGCAACCCTGTTTTCACTCCCCTCACACTGCCTGCTCCCACTATACTAACGGGGCTTTGGTCCAAATATGTACACAGGACTCAATACTCTTAAATAGGTCGCAAGTTCAAGCGTGGTGCATGGCCGTGTGTTTGAAATGGGTTTGGGAGGCAAAATGCTCTGTTTTTGACCTTATCTTGTAAGGAAAGCTACTCTCGACCCACAAGTGCCTCCCAGATGCATCCGACTCCACTTGTTTTCTCGTGTCTCCCCAGTTTTTAAATTTTAAGTCCTCCTCCGTTATGTGTTTTACACTCAACCTCCCACCTCACTCCCACACTGTTTCAGTTTTCGTCCATTTTACAGAACTTCCCTCCGCGAAATGAACAGCTTAACCGAAAATTAGTTACAACCTACGTTGCATATGAACCCTCCTGTTAATAACCTCGTCTCCCGATCCCTCCTTTCTTTTATATGTTGTTGTTCTTCAAATCATCATTGTCAATTTATAACCACCACTCACGAGGTTAGTTATGGCCCTCCGTCTAATGTTACGAAGCACATCAATTATTTATTTCCCACCATGTATAGCTCAGTATTAATTAACAGAGCAAAATAATTATTCTCTCACACTAATTGAAATAACCAGCATTAACTAAGCGATCAACAAACATTTTCACTGCTCTACAAAACAAGGATGTGGCGTTTAAACTAAATTACATATCTGTGCCAAGCCTTATCACTATCTTTGCTCTCAAGACAGTTTAAAGGGGGGAAAAAGGATAGCTTATATATGAACTATGAAAGGAATGCAGCTGAAAATTTCGAACACAGACCAAATAAAGGTGGACCAATAATAATATGCCTTGGACAACGTATATCCCGCCACTGACCAAATAATCTGTCATATTTGTATAACTGCAGGTCCTCATAAATTAAAGGGAAATCACACGGGACTTATCCATCTTCATTCTACCAACTTTATTCAAACTTCACCAGCCAATTAAGTTGTCTCATCACTACTTAAACCGCCAAAGAAAGGAAAGCGCAATCATGAAAGGAGTTCCACCATTACATCGAAGTACAGTGATGTCACCCACACATGACATATGTGTATATATAGCTGCCTCTCATCAGCAGAGTCATTCACCAATTTCTCAAGGCATTTCCAAATCCCACAATGGCTTCCTTCTCATGCATCCTTTGTATCAGTTTGATGCTTCTGGCTGTTGTGGGCGGAGAAGGACGTGATCCATTTGCATGTGACCCGAAAGTCGCTAACACGAGCACGCTGCCGTTTTGCCGAACATCGCTGTCCACGGCAGAGAGAGTGAAGGATCTGATCGGAAGACTGACGCTGGCAGAGAAAGTAAGGCTGCTGGTGAACAATGCGGCGGGGGTTCCACGGCTCGGGATTAAAGGGTACGAGTGGTGGTCCGAAGCACTCCATGGCGTGTCCAATGTGGGTCCCGGCACCAAGTTTGTGGGGCCATTCCCTGCGGCCACCAGCTTCCCTCAGGTCATCACCACCGCTTCCTCTTTCAATGCATCCTTGTGGGAGGCTATCGGACAGGTAAATTTTTGTGAAAATGTTCACTTTGTCTATGTCTTTAACTGGTAATGTGAAGGGGTAAGTTAAGAAGTGGGATGAAGCAGGTGGTGTCGGACGAAGCAAGAGCAATGTATAACGGAGGAACGGCAGGGTTGACGTACTGGAGCCCAAACGTGAACATATTAAGGGACCCCAGGTGGGGACGTGGACAGGAAACTCCCGGTGAAGACCCCGTCGTAGCCGGTAGATATGCGGCCCATTACGTGAGGGGGTTACAGGGAACGGATGCCAACCGGTTGAAGGTTGCCGCTTGTTGCAAGCATTTTACTGCTTATGATCTTGATAATTGGAATGGCATGGATCGCTTCCACTTTAATGCTCTGGTACTGCCTCGCCCCCCATTCTTGTTAATTATGTTCATCAACCAACGCATTCGACATATATAGTCACATATTAGCTTTACTATTTTGGCGCGAGGACAGGTTAGCAAACAGGACGTAGAGGATACGTTCGATGTACCATTCAGGATGTGTGTGAAGGAAGGGAATGTGGCGAGTGTGATGTGTTCGTACAATCAGGTGAATGGTAAACCCACGTGTGCTGACCCCAATCTGCTGAAGCGAACAGTTCGTGGGCAGTGGCATCTCAATGGCTACATCGTCTCCGACTGTGACTCCGTCGGCGTCTTCTTCTCCAACCAACATTATACTTCAACCCCCGAGGAGGCCGCCGCCGATTCCATCAAAGCAGGTTTGGATTTGGACTGCGGCCCTTTCCTTGCACAGCACACTCAGGACGCCGTCAACAAGGGCTTACTCACCGAAGCCGATGTCAACGGTGCCCTCGTAAATACCCTAACGGTCCAAATGAGACTGGGCATGTTCGACGGAGAACCATCGGCTCAGCCATACGGTCACTTGGGTCCAAAAGATGTGTGCAGCCCTGCGCACCAGGATCTTGCCCGCCAAGCTGCCACCCAAGGAATCGTGCTCCTTAAGAACGATGGTCCTACTTTGCCCCTCTCTCCACGTCGTCACCGCACCGTGGCTATCATTGGTCCCAATTCTAACGTCACCGTCACCATGATCGGTAACTATGCAGGTAATACTAAGG